CTGAAAATGTTCCGCATGACACGCTGTGCGGAGCATGCGCATATAGACTTGGAGAGAGGAAAAAATATGGCGACAGCGGGAGATTCAGGTGAGCGGGTGAATGAGACGATAACTGAAGAGTCCGATGAACTAGTTCCAAAGAGAAACAGCACTGGATCAATAATCTGGCAGTGGTTTGGATTTTACAAGGAGGATGTCGAACAAAATGCGGTAATTTGCAAAACGTGTCGTAAAACCATTGCCACGAAAGGAAGCAGTACCACAAATTTATTTCACCACCTAAGAAGTCATCCACTGCAAAATGAAGAATGTTGTAAACTCCGTATGTCCACGTCTCCCCACACAACAAAGACAACGTTAAAAGATATAGCTGTGAAGCAGATGACACTAGCTTCTTCGTTTGCCAAAGCCATCCCGTATGACAGAAAAAGTACAAAGTGGAGAGAAATCACTGACGCAGTAACTAAATATATCGCCAAAGACATGGCTCCTGTCAATGTTGTGGAAAAGCCTGGATTCAAAAATCTCATTAAGACTCTTGATGCAAAATATGACTTGCCAGGTCGCAAGTTCTTTGCAGAAAAAGCGCTGCCAGAGTTGTACGTTTCAGTTAGGGCTGCAACAACGAATCGATAAAATCGATAAAAATCGATAAAAATCGATAAAAATCGATAAAAATCGATGATTAAAAGCGTTGGCAACGAATTTCGTTATCGATTCGTTGTGTCGCACGATTATGCGTCTCTCACGGCGCTGCGGAGCCGTTTCGTTTTGTTCACGGGCAGTTCATTGTCAATGCTGACTGACTGAATAAAGTTAAAAAAAAAAAACTGCAGCGCGAGTTGAACAGAGCGAGGGGGGAGCAGAGCAGAGGCTGTTTTCAAAGGAAATTAAGGAAATTTTACAAATGACCGATACAGCGAAAACTGTTCAACCCAAGTCCTCCAAAGTGTGGGAGAACTTCACAAAGATTCAAAAAGCGTTCAATACAAAACAAATAAAAACTGAGAAGCATGCAGCTTTGAAAATCACCGACACGACACGGGAGAACCACGGAGATAAACGTAAACATGTCGGAGTCACGAGGAGGAGGAAGGAGCTGCAGCTGATACAACTCTTCTTCATGTGTTGCAGGTGAGTCTCTACAATTTAACACTTTGTTCTGTTTCAAGAGAGAAAACGTAACGTCAGTCTGTCTGAAGATGAAGCTGTTTGTTTGTTTGTTTATCTGATTAATGACGGTGATAGAGAACGTGTGTGTTACTTTTTATTTAATTTAATTGGTACAAGCAGTGTTTAAATGTGATTTATAAATAAATCTAACACAAAGATAATAATTTAATGATTAAGCTTCAACTTTTAATTTGTTGGCAAAGTCTGAAGATACTGCAGGTATGGCAGGATGATTTGCATTTAAACAGGAATTAGTCATTTATTACATCTACTCAAATGTGTGTAATTAAGTATTTTATATATATATATGGGGGAGTGGTGGCGCAGAGGTTAGAGAGGTGGGCTTGTGATCCGAAGATCGCCGGTTCACACCCCGGCCCCGACAACATCAAAATTGCGGGTGGGGTAGATGAAACACCCACACTTGCCTCCACCCTCATTCGCCACACTTTTAATCCAGGTTACAATGATCCACACTTTTAATCCAGGTTACAATGATCCACACTTTTAATCCAGGTTACATTCTTACCTCAATGACACATTTTACAAAGTAGCTACATATTGTGCAGGTATAAAGATACATTTGTATATATTTTTGTGTACATTTATTTTTTTTAACTATTTGACTAACTTTTATTTTTTATTATTCAATATTTTACTAACAGAATTGTAAAATAGCAACCAGTTTTTTGTGTGAATTGCTATGTCAGTCAAATGTTCAATTTTGGAATAAAGGGGTGGAAATTAAAACGTTGTGGGTTTTTTGCCGATTCATCGATTAATCGAAAAAATAATCAGCCGATGAATCGATTATTGAAATAATCGTTAGTTGCAGCCCTAGTTTCAGTGAGAGAAAACGTAGGCCAGCAGCTAACAAACGTGACCTTCTTCTCAACAACCACAGACCTGTGGACCAGCCGCACTTGTGAGCCGTATCTTAGCCTAACTCTACACTACATTGACCAGTGGGAGTTGAGAAGCTTCTGCCTCCAAACAAGTTTTTTCCCTGAAGACCACACAGCAGAGCTAATGGCCCAAGGACTGCAAGATGCGCTCACATCATGGAATTGATCAGAAAGTCGTCAGGTGTGCATCACGCCAGACAATGGGAGTAACATAATCAAAGCAACGAGGCTGAATGGGTGGACCAGGCTACAGTGTTTTGGCCAGCGGCTGCACCTTGCAATTGGTGAGTATGTTGTACAGCTGTACCTTCTTTTATATAGAATTATATACTCTGAGCATCAGTAGGTGTTGGTAGGGTTCATTTGATTTCCCCATTAAATGAACTGCAGATTAAATTGATCTGAAGATTTGAAGATCTGAAGATATCAAATTGATATTTGGTTTAATAAATTAAATTTTGGTTTAAATTTAAATTTGATTGAATTAAATTTGATTTAATAAATGAAATTGAATTTATTTATTTTTGTTTACATAAAAAATGAAAAGCATTTCTTTAGTTTTCATACCTCGAAGACATCGGGCAGCACGTTTTTCCTCCAGTAATTGTGTTATGCATCTTCTTAATTAATTTACTGAGCATAAAATGTGAACTGATGTTAAATCTGATATTGCATACATATACACAACTATGTTTTTTGTGATATTATTTATTTACAGCATTATATAGTAATTATTGTTTTTTCTTCCCCTTTATTTTCAGAGAGAAGCATGAAAGACCCCCGCACTGAGCGTGCTGTTGCTGTTTGTAAAAAGATTGTAAGCAGTTTTTCATTCAGCTGGAAGAAGAGGAGGGATCTGGCTACTGCGCAGAAAGAACTTAAGATCTCCGCACATCAGCTGATCAGCGAGTCGCCAACTAGATGGGGATCCCGTTACAAAATGATTGACCGGGTGCTGGAACAGGAGCGAGCTATTTCTCAGGTCTTGGCCACAGACAAAAAAACACGACATGTTGTCCTGACTTGGCAAGACCTGGAAGTCCT